TCCGGATATTGAGTTCGGTGACACAAGCCGTCATTGTTTAGCATTGATGGTTTATTATTAGTTAAGGTTATTGAACTGGCAAAAAGTTATTCCCTAAAAGAATGGGTATATTGTCAGGAGAATAAATGATTTTTACCACATTGAAATATTCTTCAAATAATAGTGTCAATTTTGAAAGGGTAACACAATAGAGAATTTGAAAGTAATGGAGTAAGTTTGTTCGAACAATTAAAGAAAAACCAGCAAGGAAAGTAGTAAAGTCGGGCGGGGTCGACTATATGATACCCTTCACCACTTTGGGTATATTCAACAGATGAATGCTAACAGACGTCGAATTCTGCAACCTATACTAAATGTTTCATTTGTTCAGATATAGGGTTGCTTCTTATGGGACAAAATTATATATATATAGAAGCTCTATCCAAATCTGAACCGATTTCAAAACTTTCCACATTTCAAAACTTTAGTGTGTTGTGCAAAATTTGTGCCAATTTTGTGTATAATCGGATGAAAATATATATGTAGAAGCTATATCATAATCTGAACCGATTTCAATGAGAATGAGGTTAACTTATATTAACTACAGTTTATTGTACAAAATTGTGTGGCAATCGGACAAACTTTAGGTCTTTAGCGCACAATTTACATAAAATCGGAAGAAAAAATATATAGGAGCTATAAATAGATCTGAACCGATTTTCAGGAAACTTTACACACATCACTCCAAACTCATTTCAGTACTCTATGCCAAATTTTGTGCAAATCGAAATATCTATAGGGACTTTGGTACACCATTTAAATTTAATCGGGCAAAAATTTATATAGGAGCTATATGTAAATCCGAACCGATTTTTACGAAACTTAACGTGCACTATTCTACACTTAATTAAGTACGTTATGCCAAATTTCGTTAAAATCGAAAGATATATAGGGACCTTGGTACATCATTTACCTTAAATCGGACGAAAATTTATATGGGAGCTATATCTAAATCTGAACCGATTTTCACGAAACTTAACACACACCATTCTAGATCCTATTCAATACACTGTGTCAAATTTCGTGCAAATCGAAAGATATATAGGGACTTTGGTACACCATTTACCTTAAATCGGACGAAAGTATATATGGGAGCTATATCTAAATCTGAACCGATTTTTCCCAATTTCAATAAGGTTCGTCCGAACCATGAGTCTATCTCGATTATTATTGTCTGTTACTAACATATGCACAAAGACATAATACTCTGTACCACAGTGTGGTGAAGGGTATAAAGAGAAAGAGAAGGTTCGAAGGTGACTAAAATGAAAGTATGCAATCGGCGGTAGATTATTTGGAGGTTGTTTTATATGGGAGGAAGAACAAGTTTTCCATTAAAAAACATGTGAAACAAATTTCTTTAAAAATTCAACCCTCTTATAAAAATATCAATCTCAGACATCATTTGTAGAAATATTTCTAGCAATATAAAAAATGCTCTAAAACATCCACGCCTCTAATAAAGCCTAAACAAATGGATCAGAAGATAGCAAAAAAAGTGTATATATATATGGTTCGGAAATTTTGTTAACCCTAATAATCACTGAGAAATCAGCTATATATTTCACATTGCAGCGGATAATTTTGGAAAGAAGGTCTTAAACTTTCGATGCAATGAATAAGGAGCGGTAACATGTTATACTGAATATAACAAATATACTCAAAATAAATCAAAAGTATTGATTCCTTCAATTTTTGTCTTTACATATTCTGTTCTTAATTAATGCCTCTGACATTAAAACTACATTCTTCCCTATCCAGCACGTGTCTCTGAATATTGGGTGAAAAACAAAATAACTCAAATAACATACAAAGCCATTGTTTCAAATACACCTGTGCATTCACTATGTATTCCTCCTTTAAAATCTTAAACATTTCCTGGAAGCACATAAATAAGTAACATTGCAATCTCAACGCCCCATTTACATACAGAAATTCTTCGAAAAAACGACCCTCAAACCCACAAGGGTATTGGGTACATACATAGATATTTCTAAAAAATTTACATCTTGTAAACAGAGTGATTTACAAGAGTTACGAACAATTTGAACAATTTATTTGCAAAACAAAAATGCAAATATTTTACAATATTGTGGTTTTAGTGTTGAGTTGTTGCTGCCTTTGGTGTTCAATATGTTCTGTGGTCCAATCGCAATCAACAGCTGGCCGGCATCCATGTGTGGCCACCTGCAATCGGACCGATACCGATGTCTGTGCAACAAATGGTCAAAATTGTAAACGTTTTCCATCGAATTGTGAACTGCAGAGGGACAATTGTAATTTGACATTAGCAACAGGTAAGTTCAGAGTTAAAACTTTAATGTTGTTTGGTGTATGTGTGTATGTCATTAAGGGGTTGGGTGTAATATTGAAATATTTTTTAAAAAATTTTTTAGACTGTTATATAAGCGAAGATTTTTATACCCTACACATATATGTTGTCAGGATATTATAGCTTTGTGCAGCCCCAAGAGTTTGTAACGCCGCGAAATATTGGTCCTAGTATACCGATCGTCATATCTCGACTAGCTGAGTCGATCTAGACATGTGTGTCCGTCCGTCCGTCTCTCCATTATAATTTGTAAACACGATTCAGGCCACAGTTATGGACCAATAATCACGAAATTTTGCATGTAGGATGGATTCAGTCCAATAAAGACCCCTGTTGTTTTTGGTAAAGGTCAGCTAATATTTAGGGGATGAAATAGACCAAAAACATTATTTTTGTCTGAAGCCGAAATTATGACCCAAACATCGCGAATTTTTACATGGAGAAGGGAATCGGGCCAAAGAATAAGCATGCCTATTTTGATAAAGAGCGGTAAATATGTAGCGGGTCAACCTGACTTTTATGTGAAAAATTACAAAATTTTTATTCTATAGCGTATAGTTTAGTCCTGAAGGACATAGACTCGAGAAATTGATATTATATCCAAGAGGAGTGATTGACCTTTAAATTGACACCAATTATATAGCCGTATGTACTCGGATGTGGGAGTTACACTTAAATATTTATAGGTACTTAGGTATTCATATACTATTTAGTAACCCACAATCACACTGGGGGAGGAAATATAGCGCCGATCGCTTTGAAATGTTCCATGAGGTTCCAGTTATGGTTAAGGACAACGCCTACAATTTTCGGTGATTATCACATAATAATTTTTGGATGAAGTGGACCAAAAATGGTGAAGGGAATATGGACATGAAATTAGAAGGGCTGTACTGAATATTAGTAATATTCGGAAAATATCTTAATCACGAAATATTGCCCAGGCTCGGAATAAAAATCCGAAGAATGTTAGAGTTCCGTGGTAGTTGTGTAGGGTATCTTATGGTCGGCCCCGTCCGACTATACTGCTCCGCTCACTGGTTTAAAAATATTTTTGCGACTTATATAAAAATGTGTGTTTGTTAACGATATTTTTGAGAATCTTATATAAGTGTGGATTTTTATACCCTTCACCACATTGTGGTACATGGTATTATATCTTTATGTATATATTTGGAAACGAGATAGACACATGGTTTCTCTTGAGTCGATTTATGAACTTTCTGAGTAGATTTATGCATGTCCGTCCGTATGTCTGTCTGTCCAAGTTAAATTGTAAACAAAGTACAGGTCGCATTTATGATCCGAATTGGATGAAATTTGGCATAGGTCACTTATTTGGCCCAAGGACGAACCCTATTGAAATTGGGAAAAATCGGTTCCGATTAAGATATAGCTCCCATATATATTTTCGTCCGATTTTAAGTAAATAGCGCACCAAATTCCCTATACATCCTTTGATTTCCACGAAATTTGGCATAGCGTAATGAGTTGAGTCTAAAATGATGAGTGGTAAGTTTCGGAAAAATCGGTTGAGATTTCGATATAGCTCCCATATATAGTTTCTTTCGATTTTATGTAAATGGTGCACCAAAAACCCTATATATTCTTCGATTTGCACGAAATTTGTCATAGCGTACCGAATTAACTCTAGAATGATGTGTGCTAAGTTCCGTGAAAATCGGTTCAGATTTAGATATAGCTACCATATATAATTTCGTCCGATTTATGACAATAGGTGCACCAAAGACCTTATTTATCGTTCGATTTGCACGAAATTTCGCACAGCGTAGTGAATTAAGAGAAGAATGATGTGCGTTATGTTTCGTGAAAATCGGTTCAGATTTATGTAAATAGTGCATCAAAGGCCCTATATATTTTTTTGATTTGCACGAAATTTGGCATCGCGTACTGAATTGAGCCTAGAATAATGTGTGTTAAGATTCATGAAATTCGGTTCAGATTTAAATATAGCTCCCATATGTATTTTCGTCCGATTTAAGAAAAATGGGGCACCAAAGTCCCTATTTATCTTTCGATTTGCACGAAATTTTGCAAAGCGTACTGAATTGAGTCTAAAATCATGTGTGTTAACTTTCGTGAAGATCCGTTCAGATTTAAATATAGCTCCCACATATATTTTTTTATCCGATTTAAATAAATGGTGCACCAAACTTCTAACGTTTGTCCGATTAACACGAAATTTTGCACAACGTATCCAAATTGAGACTTTGATGACGTTATTAGGTTTTGTTGAAATTCATGCAGATTCAGCCATACATTTCATATGTATTTCGAACGGGTGTCTGATTGAGGTTATATTTTTAACAGTGTTGCGTACCGAAGAGCGTGGATCAATTTTGCTATAAATTTGTTCCATGGTACGCAGACAACTCTAAAACTGCCCGTATGAAATTAAATTTATCATAGGTTGCAGAAAGACATGAGTATGTTCCTTCGAGGAAACATTGACATACAATTGTAAGGATACATAAGCCCAGTCCGACTTTGCTACTTTCCTTACTGGTTTTTATTTTAACTTATTGCATTCAACCTAACCCCTTAAAAACTTAAAAAAAGAAAAAGCAACAACAATTTCACTAAAGAAATTTCTTTCGTTTCTCCTTAGGTTGGAATCGCACCAATAGCATAGAATGCTCATATTTACAACTTAATGGAACAGGCTTATGTGCCTGTTCAGCACAAGGTCTTCGTGAGTGCTCCAATCGAACTGTGACACCAGGTATTTGTGTTCATGGTGGTACAGGTCATCGTCAGCAGCAATGCCATCTATTTAGGACAGAATGTGATTTAAGAAGAGCTCGTTGTGCTGGTACAGGTATGTATGCAGGCATTGCAAGGATCCGTATATATGGCATGGATTTCATAGGACATAGTTGAGACCTGTTTTGGTGTGTGTATATGTGTGTCGTCTTCATGCCATGCTATTAGGAAAATTTATTCATTAACATGAAAGCACTAACTCTAACACCTTTCTCTTCTTCTCATCTCATCTCTCTTCCTGCTTAGAGTGGCATGAGATCGACAATAGACAGTGCAGAGGATTTACCTTAAATCAAACTAATCCCTGTCATTGTCCGAAATTGGTACAGTGTTCGAGCGTAAGTCGTTTTAGTTGTGTCCAAGTGAATCAAAGTACCTGTCGCCTATATGACAATGAGTGTGAATTGGAGCGAAGTCGTTGTGATGGAGAGCGTAAGTATATATTTAAAATTTTGGTTTGTAATTTGAAAATTTTCAAATTTCTTTGTTTGCATTTTAGCTGCTACTATTGTGGATATTTTGAATTGTTATACGTTCCAAGTGAATCAAAACCAAAGTTGTTATTGTCCGGCACTTTTGAGCTGCCGACGTAATGATACAACGAATGTATGTGTTCGCAATGCGGTAGGTCATTGTCAGTTATTGGCGAATGGTTGTGATTTGGAGAGAAGGAGGTGTGTTGGAGAAGGTAAGTTTGTTATTAAGTTTTTGGATATAATAGAATATTCAGATAATTATTTATATAAGGATTATGCTCGGTTGTGCTGAAGCTTCTTTGAGAAATTTCCCTAATTTGGGTTGCATTAATCCTCAATTTCAAATATTTCTAACCCGAAACAGTAATTTGTACACAGTTCAGTTGAGAAAAAGGGCATAATGCTAATATATTAGGGTGGGGGAAAATAAATCCATTAGGCCGGTCGTCGAAAATGTGGATAAAAATTATCAAAGTTTAACGGCATGTTAAAAGTTTTAAACCATGTACACAAGGCTGGGTTCAAAAAGAAGCTCGATGTTTGGATGCCACATCAATAAAAACAAGTAAAAAAGCGTTATGTTCGGCCGGGCCGAACTTTGGATACCCTCCACCATAGAATACTGACAAATTTTTGAAATGAAAACATAGGGAACATACATATAACGACAATTCTTCCATCGATTGTTGTAAACCAAATAGAAAATTCACCAATTTCAATGGGGGTTTTCCTAAAATCTCAAAAATGTTGAAATATATTATTAACGCATAAAATCCTGAAAATACTCCAATTTAGAGGGCAATATTATATATGAGGCATACTATAGCGGGACCAATATTGACAACATTGTGTAGGAATTAGCAACTACTTGGTGTTTTCATTACATAAGGGGTTAGGCCTAATTAAGGACCGATGTAGCTCAAGTCCCAAGCTAATATTTTAGTTTTTAATCCCAATACCGTCTATCACGCTAAATATTAAATAGGTAGGATGTTTTATATAGGACCTCGTCCTAAATGCGGATAGATACAGTTCATTCTCAAACCTCACTATTTAGTTTTTATGTCGATGTCCTCCGAGAGAAAAGTTATTACAACATATGGCTAAATCGACTAAATCGTTTTATAATTCCATACTATGTGGGGTATGAACTGAAAATTTCGTCTACCGAATATCCCCCTACTATGGTGGAATACCGCTATATGGGATAACCACAATACACGGAAAAAATCAGCTAGCTATTTTAAAATAAAACCAGTGAGCGGAGCAGTATAGTCGGACGGGGCCGACCATACGATACCCTACACAACTACCACGGATCTCTAACTTTCTGCGGATTTTTATTCCGAGCCTGGGCAATATTTCGTTAAAGTTGCACCCTCTTGCCCGATTAGAGGTCAACAGCACATCTTCCTTACACAGACATATATTCCGAATATTACTAATATTCAGTACAGCCCAGATTCCATTCACCATGAATTGTTTTGTGATGTTCGGCTTATAATTGTGGTTTATAGACCGACTCGAAAAAAAAACAAAACAAAAAATTAAATTAAATTTTCTGTCCACTTCATCCCAAAATTATGATCTGATCATCACCGAAAATTATAGGCGTTGTCCTTGGCCATAACTGGAATCTCATGGAAATTTTCAAAGCGATCAGAGCTATATTTCCGTCCTCTAGTGTGGTTCTGGGTTATTAAATAATGTCTGAATACGTAAGCAGCTGTAAATATTTAAGTGTAGCTCCCACATCTGAGTACATACGACCATATAATTGGTATCAATTTAAAGGTCAATCACTCCTCTTGAACATACTATCAACTTTTTGGGTCTAGGTCCTTCAGGGGCAAATATATATGGCATATAACACAAATTTTGTCATTTTTCACAAAAAAGTCAGGGTTCATTTGACCCGCTAAATATTGACCGATCTTTACTAAAACAGGCATGTTTATTCTTGACTTCTCCGTGCAAAAATTCGCGGAGTTTGAAAAATCATCCCCTAAATATTAACCAATAATTTCCAAAAACAATAGGGGTCTTCATTGGCCAGAACCCAACCTAGATGCAAAATTTCGTGAAGATTGGTCCATAACTGTGGCCTGTATTGTGTTTACAAATTGTAATGGACAGACGGACGGACGGACACACACACATGTCTAGATCGACTCAGCTAGTCGAGATATGACGATCGGTATACTTAAAGGTGGGTCTAGGACCAATATTTCGCGGCGTTACAAACTTTTCGGGCTGCACAAAGCTATAATACCCTGACAACATAGTTGTGTAGGGTATAAAAAAGGGGTTATATGGGGACTACACCTAAAAGGGGGTGAATATTAATAACTTTTGGTAGGGAGATTTGTTACCATATACGACATAAAAATACCAAATTACAGCGAATTCGGTTGAAAACCGTGCTCAAGAACCCCAAAATACCGAAAATTGGAGGGTACCCTTATATGAGGGCTACCCAATAAGAGCTCAAAGTACTAAATTACAGCCAATTCGGTGAAAAAAATCCGTTCAAAACCCCCCAAAAACTGAAAATTGGGAGGTAGCGTTCTATGGGGGCTACCAGAAAAAGTGGACCTATATTTATAATTTTTTGTGGAGAAATTTGGTATCCAAGAACCCCAAAATACTCTCAAGAACCCCAAAATACTGTCAAGAACCCCAAAATACTGAAAATTCGGGGGTACCCTTATATGGGAGCTATACCTAAACGTGGACCGATATAGCCCATCATCGCACTTGACCGGCCTGCAGACAAAATACGACTCTATGCTAAATTTTGGCATTCTATCTCAATTCGTTTAGACGCCAGAGTGATTACAACAGACAGACGGACATGCTTAGATAGATAGAATTTTACGCTGATCAAGAATATATATATATATATATACTTTATAGAGTCGGAAATGATTATTTCGATGCGTTACAAACGGAAAACAAAACAAATATACCCTCCATACTATGGTGGAGGGTATAATAAAATGGGTATCTAGGGAGGATTGTGAAAATCGACTATAGAGTTTTTTTTTTTGCAAATAGAGAGCAAGACTTCTTTGAGAGAGGCATGAATTTACTTTGACATTACATGACAACAAAGCATACAATTTACATGACAACAAAACGGTACAAATTTGTACCGGTACAAATCGGACATTCCGAGGCATATTAAATAAAGCCCTATATTTCATATAAAAATAATGGATTTCTCTTTCCCCAACCTAATATATACTTTATGGAACCCTCCACAAATATTTCGGGGTGTTGTAAACTAAATGACTAATTTAATATATTCTACGCCTTCTGGAGTAGACATATCTTGTATTCTATATTTCAAAACACTTGTTCAAATTCGAAACTGTTTATTTTATTCATACAGTTCTACGACCCGTCCATTCTGTTCAATGTTCGAATATGACTGTAAATCAACAAAGACCATGTTTTTGTCCCAAATTAAGCAGCTGTTCAAAACAACCCCAGCCCATATGCGTTAGAACTCGTCGTGGCTGTAAGCTGTTTGTTTCAGAATGTCAGGCCGAAGAGGCTCGATGTCGTGGAGAAGGTGAGACAAATTATTATTTTTTACTGACATATTCCCTTAATTTAAATATAGTTTTAGAAACAGTGGATCCATTACAGTGTCACGGATTCCGTGATGAAGAAGAAAAGACGTGTTCTTGTTCAAAACTTCAGACATGTAGTTCGAATCGAACGTCAATTTGTATTGGATCGTCATCATCGAATTGTACCCTATTGAGGAATGATTGTGAATTGGAACGTTATAAATGTCAAAATCCTGGTAAGTCAAGGAGAATATTCAATTATCTTTAGAATGAAGGGGACAATTAGAAAGATTCCTCTAGGATTCACAATTTTTCACATTAATAATCGATGTATCTATTTTTGCAGCACCACCTTCTATTTCTCTACTACATTGCAGAGGTTTTGAGTTTGGCCAAAATAGGACATGTACCTGTCCCAACCTATTTACATGCTCGCGGAACGCTACAAATATTTGTATTAGGGATAAAACGGGATGCTCACTTCTAAGAAATCAGTGCGAATTGGAAGAATTGAAATGTCAGGGAATAGGTAAAATACATTTATAAAATTATCCATAATATGATTAACATCAAATTGCTTCTCAAGACCCTACCATATTGCCCACTGAGCAATGTAGGCAAATAAAGCCCGGAGAACGTGGCTCTTGTGCTTGTCCAAAATGGTTGAATTGTTCCACTACCCCCTCAAGAATTTGTACAGAAAATCGTAATGGCTGTGAGTTAATACAAAGTGAATGTGACTTGGAAAGGAGAAGATGTCAAGGGGAAGGTAATAATTTTATACCAATATTTTTTATAATTTTCATCGATATAATATTTGATTTCAGTTCTTAATACCGTCAACATTGAACTTTGTCCAAATTTCCGTTTTGGTCAAGTTAGAGCCTGTTTCTGTCCGGCTTTAAAGGCATGTGGCCAGGGGGCGAAAACTAATCTTTGTGTAAAGGGTGCCACAGGTTGTAAACTAATGCATGACACTTGTGATTTGGAATTGGCAAAATGTCATGGTGAAAGTAAGAAGAGATTCAAATACAATTAAATAATGAATACTAATTATATTAATTTCAGAATGGAAAGTTCAAGATCTGGTGCAATGTTTGGGAATTGCCTTGGGAAATGTTGGCCAATGTTTCTGCCCAGAAATGGAACACTGCTCACAATGGGGTAATTCAAGTATTTGCATTCGAAAACAGAAACAGTGTAAGCGTTTGACTAATAGATGTGATTTGGAAAAGTCCATATGTTTAGAGGAAGGTATGTACCTTATATGATTGAATTTGAAAACAAAAATATTTATTTATATTATTTCTTTTAAATTTCCTACTTAGGTTTCAGTGTTACCACGTCCCTAAGATGTCGTGGCATGGCCAGAGGCTCTGAAGGCGAATGTCAGTGTCCAGCTTTGGATCGATGCAATAATCGTCAGAGGATATGTGGCCAAATCGGCAGCCGCTGTAAGCTGTTCAGAAATGATTGTGATCATAAGGCGGCAGGGTGTAGAGGAGAAAGTAAGTACAATTATTGTTTAAATTTAATATTATTAAGGATTCAAATTTCTCAAAAGAGTGTGCTACTCCCTTAAATGCTGATCGTAGATGAACCTTTTAATCTTCATATTGTAGCTAAATTAATCCCAAATTTAAGACCGATCGTCTCAAATACCGAACATTCTGAATAAATTGATGGCTATATACGAGTTAAGGTGGATCAATAAGGCAAATTTCGGACGACATTTTGAAGGGACAAATAACGCAAATTTGGGATGACAAATGCGCAATGGCTTCTGTGCGACAAATAACTGACATTGACACATTACGAATTTGCCCAAAACACAGGGCACCATTGGTTTCGAAGTGATTCTTCCACAATAACTTTCGTTGCCCTATTTCGTGTTAATTCGTATAGATCTAGTATTTCTCACCTGTGCCTGTATCTTGAAGTCGTATTTTAATACCCTCAGTCGATTGGCTAATATGTGTTATACACTTTGATACGTCAAAGATATGACCCCATATTGGTTTTACACTATGTTTCATAGGTGAAAATCCGTAATTTCTAGCAAATTTTCCGAGAGGGTCGCATTATACCTCTCGAATGGAGTAACCGATTTAATTCAAACTTTTAACCTCAAAGTATTACTTCGAAATTAAAGTATATTAAAGTATGATTTAAAGTATCATGCAAACGGAGTGTCCTTTTTGAACCAAATTTTGCACAAAGTAATATTTTAATCAAATCTGTAGATCTTCAAGTCCGAAGATGTTACCCTCCTTCTAGTATCCCTACTCTCAATCCGGAAATATCGGCCACTGGTACCCCTCCATAGTAGCCCAATTCTTTACCCAGTAAGGAAAGTAGTAAAGTCGGACTTGGCCGACTATATGATACCCTTCACCACTTTGGGTATATTCTACATATGTATCCTAAAAGACGACGCCTTTTAAAAGGAAATTTGAGATGAAATTGAACGAACTTAAATATGTGATTTTTGTCTATATCTAAACCGACTAACACCAATCCCTCACATGTCATTCTGAAACCTATGCAAAATTTTGTAAATCGATTTAAAGCAAACTTGACACACGCTATTCGGTATGCTGCCCTTAATGCCGCCAATTAACACGAATAAGTCGAAATTATATATGGAAGCTATTCTATATCCATATCTGAACCGATTTCAAGGAAACTTGTCAGAGATTAACTTATATTAACTTCAGGACGTTGTGTCAATCGGCCTAGCTATGGATTTTTAGTGCACCATTAACTTAAAATCGGACGAAAATATATATAGGAGGTGTACACATCATTCTAGACTTAGATCAGTCGATATATAAAAATTCGTGAAAATCGATATATCTTTCGATTTGCACGAATTTTGCACCAATTACCTTAAATCGGACGAAAATATATATGGGAGATATATCTAAATCTGAACCAATTTTCATGAAACTTAGCACATATTATTCTAGATTTACTTCAGTAGGCTATCAAAAGATTTGCAGGACTTTGGTGCATCACCGATTTTCACGAAACTTAGCACACGTCATTCCAGACTTAATTCAGTAGGCTATACCAAATTGTAAGTCGAAAGATATGTAGGGACTTTGGTGCATCATTTACCTAAAATCGGACAAAACTATATATGGTAGCTATATATAAATCTGAACCGATTTTCAGGAAACTTAGCACACGTCATTCTAGACTTAATTCAATACGCTATGCCAAAATTCGTGCAAATCTAATGATATTCAGGGACTTTGGTGCACCATTTACCTAAAATCGGGCGAAACTGTATATGGGAGATATATCTAAATCTGAACCGATTTCCACGAAACTTAGCACACATCATTCTAGACCAAATTCAATACGTTCTGCCAAAATTCGTTCAAATCGAAAGATTTTCAGGGACTTTGGTGCACCATTTACTTAAATCGGGCGATACTATATATGGAAGCTATATCTAAATCTGAACCGATTTTTCTCAATTTCAATAGGGTTCGTCCTTCGGGCAAACACATGATCTGTGCCAAATTTCATCCAATTGGGATCATAAATGCGACCTGTACTTTGTTTACAATTTAAAATGGACAGACGGACAGACGAACGGACGGATGGACGGACATGCATAAACCGACTTAGAAAGAGATTCTATGCATATTCTCAAAAGGAACCATGGGTCTATCTCGTTTCCTTTTGCCTGTTACAAACATATGCACAAATACATAATACCCTGTACCACAGTGTGGTGAAGGGTATAATAAACTTATGATGATTAACTTCTAATCTTGGTCTAATCTTGGCACACTATAATACTAGGTTGGGGAAAAAGAAATCCATTATTTTTGTATGAACAATAGGACTTATGTCCGATTTGGACCAAATATTCACCGTTTTGTTATATGATTTGTTGCCATTTTAAAGGCATTTATCGATCATTTCTCCGATTTTATCGACATTTTCGACGACCGACGACCACAATTGCACATAATAGGCTGTTACAGTATCGGAACCATAAACACCGTTCAAAATTTTAGCCATTTGACTTGCATTTTCGCCTTTGCCAATGAAAAACTGTAAAATGTAGCGAATTTTCTCTTTGTTCACTTCCATTTTTAACACTCTGTAACTCACAAATGATTGCACCAAGCAACAAACAGCAAAATTATTATTTTACTGTGAAATGTCACCCTTCCAACGTGCATAAATCTGAAATTGTTTCATCAATACTTTACGCGAATCTATCAGTACAGCCATTTATCGAAAAAAATAATGGATTTCTTCTCCAACCTTATATTTTTACAATCCATATACAATGTGCTGTTATCGGTATACATGTACATTACTAGCCGACCCCCACAAACTTTGACAATAGACCGTGACTGTTTATGACCGTGTCAAGTTGTGTATGACCCATTGCAATATAGAATTCATGCTGGTTAAAGAAATGTCCAAGAATGCTTGTGGACCTACATATATTTTTTATCAGAATAAAATTCTATATCGATTTAGCCATGTCTATCTCTCTGTTCCTACTCCTAATATTTTTGGTATTGAAAATGGAATATATCGATCCATGTTTTGGTTTGCTCCTAGTATTCAGTATTTCGAAGCTTTTACGCAGCTGTATGGGTAGATAATATTCCTACTAAAAATTATTAATATATGTCGACTCATTATGGTAGTCCCCATATAGTAATATCCACCATTTCCGCGGGTTTAAAAACGTTTTCAACCGGATTCGACTTAATTAAAATTGTCAGCTTCTTATGAGGTGGCAAATCTTCCTTACAATAATTATAATTTAGGTTTTTGTATATCTCAAAAAACGATATTATGGAGGCATAACCCGCATAGGGTTTAATGAGGCTAACATACCAATATATTTAAATTATTAATATATATTTATGTATTTTGAAGGAAGCGCCCTCTTGTCAGGTATTTATAAATATTTTAGCAGCTGTTTTGCTCCGAATTTTCGAAAAAGTTTCCTGTGTTGACATAGTACCATATAAGGGTCGGGGTATTTTGAAGGTTTAGTAGAAAATTTAGCAATACGGGTTCTTGTAGAGCTATAAAAAACTCATTTTATATTTTCGATATCAGAGGAAAAGTCCCTACCCATTTTCGGTATTATTAACCCGAATAGTGCTGTAATTATTTTTTTTTTAGAATTTTGGGACGAAACTTTCAGTTTTTCCAGATTGTGGGTCACTGAATCCCAAAATTTGATTTGTATCCTTTTTTCTTATCAGGATAATCGACAGGATCAATTTTTCGGCTCTGACCATATCTTCACACTAGCAATGCACGGGTACAGGCTTTTTTAGAGGATTTATTGATATGGTCACGCTAGCACAGCTCTTATTAAGGTTTTAACTGATTTTTCTAATCATGGCATTATTTTTGATATATCGGATTCCAGGAAAATTCAAAAAGTTCTCTCCAGAAATTATTCAATGTAGATTAATGCTTGCAAAAAGCCCCCAC